AGGGATTGGAACAAAGGGATTTGCTGGGCAGCGAGATTATAAAACCTGGGATGATAAAACTGAAGAATGGAGACTAGGACTGGCTCAGTGAGGAAAATGGGACTGGAACAAAAAGCCAATGGTGAGAAAGGGACAAGAATGAGAAAAGAAGAGGTTGGAGAACACCTGGCAAAAAGATGAAATGTGCCAAAGCTTCACAGCCTGCAACAAATGCCAAGATTCCTGAGTCTCACCACTTCCCTGCAGTCAACAAATATCTGTAAAACCTACTGGCAAAGTGTCTCATTCTCTTTTACTGTTGGTTTACATGGGATGATAATAGTGTTATCATTCATGCCATTAGCTCAAGAAGCAGAGGTATCTATGAGATGGATTTAATGTTTCCAGTGTTTTCTAATGACCCCTGTGGGTGTCAGTTTAATTCCATGTGGCACATAGTATTAGGTGGATAATGAATATGTTTGAAAAATCTGTTTTGAGACTCTTATTAACCACTGGTAAGTGATTCATACAGGGAAGTTTCTTATAGGTGCTAAATACACCTGGGCCTGTCATGATAAACACAATGGCTGTTGCTCAGAAACCCACTTGGATAGTTATAGGATTCCACTTGGGAAAGTAAGGAGCTAGCAAAACTTGTCATCTGAGGTTTGCACTTAAAGAGGATGCAAGGGGCTTGACCTATAATAATTATACCACATTATTAAAGCTGCATCCAAATGCAAACATAAAAAGGTGCTAGATTAAAGTTGTACCCTTGTCTCGACTGTCTCATTTCTTAAATTCTGAATATTTGACTTTGTAACTTAAAAAGATGCTCTTTTAGTATCTTTTTTCCCCCTGTGATATATAAAATTAGTGAGGATTTCTTTTCAGTCATTCGTTGATTGATGTGTATGCCTATATATGTGTAAATTCATGTGCACAGATAATCAATGAGAATGCAGTTATATAGTTATGGAAATGTATAATATGCCATATAAAATATGAGAGTCTTTCTTTTAGTACACTGTCTGGTAGCAGAAGTACAGTAGTAAAATATCTAAAATCTTCTGACTGAAGATTTTGTCACCACAGTTGAAAATAAATATTTTTCAAGTTTAATATCTGCATTTTTTTACTCATTCAAATTGGTCAGTAATGTAGTCAAACATTAATGAACTACTCAGACTCAATATATTAATCATATTTATCGGTAAACCACTTTTGATAAAGTAGAAGCCCTGATTGCCTTCATTTTTGTATAATCCCTCCCAAACACACTTTAGGAAATCAATTATTAGGGGGATTGAAAAATTAGACCACAAGACCACAAGAGTGATATGAAGATTGGAGAAATTACCTTACAGTGAGAGACTAAAGGAGATCAATTTGTTTGTATAAAAAATAAGACTAAGAGGTTTGATTTCATTTTAGAAGTGGCTTCCCGGGCAGAAAATTCCAAGTAGTAAATTATTATTTAATCAGATACCCCAAAGCTGGAAGCTGAAGTCAAATGAATTCAAGTAGCTCTGCCACTAACTTCCATGTAAATCGCTTAATTTTGCCTATTGGAAATTAAATTTATGTCTCATCTGTGATACAGGAATAAAATGTTACACACCAGCTAGGGGCTTTAAAGGATTAAGGAGTATTTGTAAAATTATTTTGCAATTCCATGCTTGGAGCTACTGGGGAAATGTATGAATGACAAGTTTAAATCAGGGGTGTCAAACTTACCTGTGCTCTGGACCAGATCCACCCTGGAAGTTACTCGCAGGCCAGATCCAGACTGAGATCCAGAACTAGGAACCATGGTAAGGTAAGCAGTGGTGGAGGCAGTGGTTTGGGGTTTAACACAGCCATTGCTCACATCCCATGGGCTGCTTCCAACATGCATCCCAAATAGAGCTTTGTAGTTGGGAGTTTGGTCGCATACCCTGGCTTCTATAGGAGTCTATGAGCTGACTGAAACAGCTCCATAGGCTGTATCTTTGACACCCTGATTAAATGTTTGACACGAATGCTAATATTTGAAAATATGCATGGATTGTTTTATATTGATTTGACAGAGCCCTTGAAACCATAGCAGAATAGGAAGGGTACAGGATTGCCAGACAAGACTGCAGCTGCTATGGAAAAATCAATCCAGATAATGTCTTAGTGAAGAGTCGCTTCTCATGTGTCACTGAAATTGAGCATGAGTAAATAAGAATCTCTGCATGCAGTAGCAGCCATACCTCCATCAAATTAGCAACAGAGTTGAAATTGTAAGCAATACAATCCCATGGATTCTTGAAGAGGAACATGTTGGGCATTCAAATCTGTCTAGTAAGGGAGCTGCCTGGATTTTCTCTTAGTCATCTTCAAAAAAGTCTCCCATCTAGAGCACAATACAACGATTTATATATCACTTAAGGCATATTTTTTCGTTTTACATTTCCCCCAGTTTCTTTTCAGGAAACAAATACAGCATTTATATCCATGTCAAATCTGAGCCATATAATCTGCCAGTATTTGTATGAAGTTTAACAGAGGTCTTCTCTTTTTGCAATTTTCAACCTGTTGGAATTTTAACTTAAAACTGTATGTTCTGGAATGCTTTATCACTTTCCTGTGTTCTGTAAATTTAATCTCTTCAATATGGTCCTCAGGAATTGAATTCCTTATGTGTAATTTGTTACATGTAATAAATAAATTCCATGTGGTTTCTCAGCACATATCATGAGGCTCAGTTCTGTTGAAGGATCTTAAAAAGAAAATATCTCTGAAGTGTTTAATTAGTGCTTTGAATTGATGACGGATGAATTTATTTATAGTAAAGTACAGGTTAAAAAAAAATATTTCACTTTCTGGGACTTGCTTTATACACACTTTAATCCCCTTCAGTTGGGACAAAAAGTCATTGAATTAAGTATTCATAGTAAGTTTTCATGGTGCAGTCATGAAATTTACATTTTTTAATGTTGAATAGTTTATGCAAAAAAAGTTCTAAAAGAAGTAATAAAATGGTAAGTTTATTCTACTGCAATATACAATACAACCACTTTATAATGAATGCCCCCACCATAAAACTTCACTAAAGGGTGCTCTGTACAATAGGGTTAGTCAGTGTGCTGCATCATATTAATGAAAAAAATTAGTTCCTTATGTTGGAATTGTTAAATGTTGTAGCTTGTTATAAACAGGATTCACTATAAAAGCAATACTGTATTCAATTTCTTCAGTTTCAATTGAGCTGCGTTTGTTCATCTTTTCTTGTTTCCTTCCATCTGTTCTTCTAAGACTATGTCTGGTCAAGGCTTTTATTTTTACCTATAGATTTTGCTGTTGAAGGGGAATGCCTCTTTGGCATTTAAGGATCAGTAGTTGTTATTTTGGCTCAGAACCTAAAGGTCTCAGTTGCTTCTTTCGGTCATATATAGCATATTGTAGAAGGCAGGCTGAGAGAGCTCTTAGACCCTATTTGAAAGTTGACTTTTAAAAGATTCATTCTGTTTTGCTGATTTCATTCTAGTTCCATACATGTTTTAGAATCATTGTAGACCTCTTTTAATTAAATAAACATTCAGTCTGTTTCAAAGATTTTTTTGATTTAATAACACTGTAAAAGTACTATATTAAAATGACAATTTAAAATGTAGTTTCTTTAACAAACACTTCTTCAGGAGTCTTTCCACTTCTTTCAAAAGCCTTGGTTTCAGCAACCTATTTTAACTAGTTGTAAACAATTGGATATTCACCTGAGTAAAGTCAAGCACAGCCTTAAGTCTGCTGACCACTTCATATAACAAATATACACCCCATCACCCCTCCCATCCCAGCCTTGTATATATGTAAAATGGGATATTAATTCTGGTGAAAGCTTTCCATAGGAGAAAGAAAACAAAAAACAGGCAAATAGAACAAACCTCCCATTTTTGTTTGTGATGAATGAAGTGTACAAAGGCAAAAAGTGACTACAAATGGAATATAATCAAGAACAGAATTGGCTAATGTCGTATTAATTATTAGTAGTTCTGAGGTACAGACTGAAAGAACTTAGTTTTGATGCCAGATGCCAAGATTTACCTTTGGCTGAACTTGGGTAAAAAATTTCAATTCTCTGCTTGAAATATTTGACGTAAAAGCCCCACTTTAAGAAACCAAGCAAGCAAGCAATGTGGAATTCTGCAATGTTATTTGTAGAAAGCTAATTTTTAGAGTAGAGGAAAAACACAGTTCTATGCCCCATTGACTTTCTGAGAAATGTGCTATGCTTCAAAAATAACTGCTTTCCTGATATGCTCTTGTCTGCATTGCTCTCAAGCCGTTATTGTTCAGATGTAGAATTCCATTGGTGTGACTGCTTCTGTAAAAGTCTGTGAAGAGGAATGCCTTGCATCCGAAAGCTTCTCTAAATCTATTCCAAATATGCAGGTGGTCCAATAAGAGAGAGAACCCACAAAAATCCTTGCCCTTCACATATTTCGTAGACCATCATGGCTACAGCTTCACTCTGACACTGAAAAATAAGTTGTTTTATTTGTTTCACTTGGCAGGCATTTGATGTTCTTGGCAGTATTGAGGCTTACATTAAGCTCCTTAATGAAGAAGGACTAAGTTTGCCTATCTTGGCGATGAAGCATGAGGAATTACAGGGAGAGATTAAAGCCTGTACAACTGATGCCTTGCAAAAGGGAAAAGCCTTAGTTGGTAAAGGAGACTCTCACAGGTGAGTAAAGGAAGCTGTATTTCTCTGCATTTTCCAGCTACTTTAGAGCTTCCATTTATTTAAATCAGAATAAAACGCACCTGGGACCAGCTTCTGTTCAGCTGAATGTGGAGTGAAGCCTAAATGGCACCGTAGAGTCTTCAAAATTTCAGCCGTTTTTATTTTTCAGATCTCATTGATACCATTCATGTAAGCTAGTCTGTCTTCTGTAGCAATATTTTTTTAGAATACGTGATTTACAGTGAAGACACTAAAGCTTTCCAGAGAGCTGTGTTTATGTCTAGGTTATACTTAGAACAAGACTGTAATCCAGATAAAGAATATACAATCATGGAAACAGAGTTATAATGCTTATGCACATTGATGTCTTTACAATCCAAAGGAACGTTTTAAGACTCTTAAAAATATCCTTATAATAAATGTAATTGATATTACTCAATTTAATGAGGTATAGTATATTCTAAAGTATAATTATTTTATGCATATATTATATATATATACACATATACATATATATACATACATACACACACGCATGCATGCACGCATGTGCACATGAACCTCATATATATATGATAGAAAGTAATAGATACGGAACTAAATACAAGTATGAACAGTTTCTCCACTCATGTTAATACTGACCCAGCACAGCATTAGAGGTCACTGTACCAAAACTAATGTAGCCAGTTAACAAGTTTGGTTCAGTGCTGAAAATACATCATGGGGCGGCTCTGAAAAACAGAATTTATGGGCATGTGCCTAACACTGCACTAAACAGCATAAACTACTTCTGGCTCAGGAGACAGTGTATGTGGAGCAGATGTATTGTGGCTCAGAAAAGACACTTCCCAACACCATGTCAGGATAGTCTAGACATGCCCTTTCAGACCTTTATTTACAAACAAATTCCAAACATAAGGTTAATAAGAAGATCTACGTAATTAGAAAGAGATGCTCCTGATTTACACCAGCGATGTCAAAATTAGGTGAAACAGCTGATCATATCCTATGCTCTACAGCTTGGAAAGAGATTGGTTTAATGGAATTTAGGGATTCTATGGATTTTAAAAGTGGTGCTTTAATGTTAACGCTTTGGAGTTATGTAGGAACTCTCCAATATAGAATTATCTGCTAATACTAGAATAATAACAATAAAATAATTAAATAAAAAAAACATCATTGCACTGCACTGATTTTTATGCATATGACGTTCTATCAGTAGTTTCCTCCTGAGTTATTTAAAGTAAAGAGGCCCTATGTTAAGTTCAGTCTCTTTACCCATAATACATGCAGCTTCCCTTATTGTTCCTGCTTCTGCTCTTACAGCTGCTGGTATTTTACAAGGTTGGAAAAATAGGAAAAAGGATTTTCCTCATGGTTGCCTTCATTTCTTTTTCATAAGCCAACAACAATCTTGGATGGACCCCATGGGGAAGTATTCCAACTCATATCTCTCTAAGAGTGTTTGATATCAGGAGGCTTTAAACATGTTTGAGAAAACCCCAAATCACTTCAACCATTAGCTTCCTACCTATCTTTTTAATGGTCCTCTTTATTGTCTAAGTACTTGGATACTGAAACCTCAGGACAGATCAAGAGAGAAGGTGATGAATTGTCATGATGTAATTTTATTCGAGGTGAAATTAATTAAAAATCACTCTGTATAGGCAACACCAGCTATAGCAATGCTAGTATGTTCTACTATGTGTTGTAGATTGGGAACCTTGCTGTAATAGGAGAAAAACTCTTTACTAGGGACCTCTGCCCAAGCTTACAACCAATACCTTATCAGCTTAACTACTGAACTAGTCTGTTATAGTATCGTTTCATTTTTGGGGTGTCCAAAAATGCTCTAGGCTCTGGTACACTCCAGAGGCTGGGAGCACTGGCACATGTTCAATTAAAGGTATGAAAGGAACTAGCAACGTATATTTTGTGTAATAACTTTGTGGCTTACACCCCATTTTATCATGCCATTAAT